CCCCTGTGGAGGATTCTCCTTCTCACTGGAAGCTCCTAAAAAGACAAGTCCATTTTTTTGGCTTGTCTCCATTGTTCTCAGGAGTTTTTAGGTTCGTTAAAAAAAATACCCATACTTTATTCTCCATTCAAAGTGCTTTTGCAAGTTCTGACACGTTTCCTGGTACCATGTTAAAGGCATGGGATGAGTAGGAGATGATCTCAATAGAAAGAATATTTATGAACTGTTATATTTATAAACACCTGGCATTTACATAAACAAGGGAACTGGGATTTTTAACAAGGTAACCTCTCCAGTTTGGCATTCAAATAGAAAACATGCTTGTGTTTTTCTTGTGCATAGGGAATCTCATTGAAAGTACGTGGCACCCAGACAGTATTTTAGTAAACAGTGGTTTTAGTCTCTGGTGAGTTCTAAATTAGACACAACAGATGTGATATTGCAATAGTTAATGATTCTCCCTGGTTTCTTTTCATTTAAGGAGTGATGAGTGTCATCTTTATGATGATAAGTCCCCTTGAAGGCTTTGCTGTGGCAGTTGCAATGCTGAGCCCAGAAAGGTGGAGGGACAACATGCCCAGAGCAGACTGCTGATAGCAGGCTCCTCACCATGGGTGTGCCCCTCCCCTAACTGTCTACCCCCTCCCCCACCCGCCACCCCCCAAGTGGCACCAGCCCCTCCTTTCATGTATGAAGAGACTGAGCTTCATGAGGGTCAACTGTCTTACCCAAGGTCACAGAACTCCTAAGCAGCCCAACCAGAACTGAACCAAAGTCTGCCGTAGTCTAGAGCATCTTCCACCCAGACTACAGTCAAAATATTTTATAGAATTATAAGTTCCAATTTCTCTTGTTTTTATTTCTTGGCCTTAAAAAACTCCAGTTATTAAATTTTTTTTTTCTTCAGTATAGCACCAGATGGTGGAAAGACACATGTATTAAGCTTCAGACCCTGATCTCAAATCTAGCCATCACCACCTACCAACTGTGAGTATAACCTGAACAAGTTGTTTAGACTCCCAATCTCAGTTTCCTCATTTGTGAAATTGGTGGTGGTATTCTCTCTTCCTGCGGGACCTCTTGAGATAATGAAATGAGATGCTGTTTGTGATGTGCCTGGCACACAGTGGAAGCTCAGAAAATGTTAACTTCTTTCCTTTGCTATCCATTTGGTTTCTCACTATTCTTCACCATCTTCTCCTATGCTCCTTAATGAAGGCTGGACTTTTCTTAAATGTTTTGCCCCGTTCTCCAGGAAAGGCTTCTTTTCCAAGCTCTGAGACTCCCAGGAGATACACAATCCTTCAGCCAAGCACACTCGCTAAGACTCATCCATGTGAGTCATGGATTTTCTCTCTAGGACCTGCGCCTGGTGAGTTCATTTCCACATCTTCTTAATCCCATGTCACTAACAACAGTAGAATCAATAAAACCCACGTGTGATGTGAGACCACAAATCTATTTACCTGTTTGAATCAGGCAAGTACCTACTCTGTTGGCTCTGTCATTAAACTTCTGGGAAAATACTTTCCACACCTGGAAATATGAACTGGAAATCTCATCATGAGAGATTTTCCTGATAATTCCCAGGCCTCACTACATTGTGATGCTCAGGAAATTTTGACCTTGCTTTGTTTTGATCTGGACTAGAGTCAAAAAGCATCTCTTAAATTAAAAATCATTTTCAGAAGGGCTAAAAACGTGGAGCCATTCATTTTGATTGCCACTGGATGCTTTTCATTCTGCTCAGCGTCTTTATCCCTAGCATCAAAAAAAAAAAAAAAAAAAACGTCGAATTGACTAGAGGCCAAGTTGGGTGACTTTGGTGAGAAAAAGTGTATGAAATAAGAGCTTATAGTCACTGAGAGCCTAAAAAGAGTGTAGGAGGTGAAAAAGAAAAAAAAATGACCTGGAAATTATACTTGTCTATTTCTTTTTTTTTTTGGACAGAACTGAATATATTTTCCAGGCTCTTGAGTTTAATTAAATTCAAAGGAACATCTCAAAGGCAAGTGAAAAAAAAAAAGAACAGGCAAGACATTGAGGTGGCTGGAATAAGAAATTGTGTAGAATGTTATGGAAAGACAAAACCAAAAGCAAGGAAAGGAAAGATGGTGGGGGAGGGGAGGCAGGAGGGGCAGTGAGGAGGGCAGAGGTGGGGGAGGGGAGGGCAGAGAAGGGAGGGAAATACGAATTTGCCACACCCGACCAGACGAAACGAACTTGTTTTCTGCCAGCAATACTCACAGCTCTCTTTTAGGCACTGGTACTTCCCTTAATTTCTAGATAGGTCACAGAAGCTAGATTATCTGTCTCATCTAAGGACACACTAGCAAATGGCAGAGTCAAGACCAAACCATTGCTGATTCCAAAGCCCATGTTCTTTCTAATCTACTCCACTACCTTGGCTTATCATTTATGCATTTCATTTTTTAGTGCTGGAGAAAGGGGTTAAAAATAGCTTTATTTCTATTTCTCCCTATAAGAGCAAAGTCAATACACACGTTGGTACAATAATAATAACAGAACTCACAGGGGTTGTTCTCCTCCTTTGTGCCAGGTCTGGGCCACATGCCTTGGAGGAGTTATCTTATTTCGTCTTTACAGCTCCGTGGAGTAGGTACAAGCATTTGGGATCTCCTTTTACATGTGAGGGCACTGACGCCCTCCCAGGTTATGTATACATGCTCGAGGCCACGCAGTTAGAGAGGGGAGCTGGGCTCGGAAGCCAGCAGAGTGACTCCCCCGCCTGCCTCAGTCACTGTCCCATCCAGGCAGTTCTTACTGGGAAGTCATTAGAAGAACACTCAGAGTTTCTGACAGCAATTTTGCTAAGAGATATTGATTTGTTAACTATTTTAACTTGCTCTTTGTTTTCTCTTTTTACTTACTCTTGTCCTCAACCATCGTATCTGTGAAACCATTGTTTTAATGTGCTAGTTTCAGATTTTCTAATATACATGAAACTAAACACACATTAAAATAAATGAAAAAGTGATAAAATAAAATTTAAAAATTCATCTGTATACCACCTACCAGTAACTTTTATGCTCTGCCAGTGGTAAGAATATTTTCCTCCATCACTGCTCAGAAATATCACTTGTTAATGAGGTAGAGAAAGGTCAGATCATACCCAAGACTTCTGAATGGGGAAGAAAGAGGCAGGACCCGGACTCAAGGATTCGACTCCAGACCTTTCCCTCTGCACCACCAGCCTCCCTCCTGTGCCTCCTCTATGTTCCCTGGAATCCCGAGGATGCAGCTGGGGGCTTCAGAAAGCTTTAAGGTACAGCTGATCCTGTCTTTATTTAAAATGTTTGTATTTTGTTCATCGTGGATGTTTTTGCATTAATCTTGATTCTTTAACAAATACTACATAAATTATTATGTGTTTTGATTACTGAGTTTATTTAAATGTTTTAGTATATAATACATTTAATATGTTGTCTTTATACCAACATAGTCAAAAACATACTTTTTAATATTTTTTTAACAGAGAAGGGGGGCCCACAAAGATCACAACATGGCCCTTATGAAGCCGATTACTTCCTACCTCTGACACATCCCCACTTCTCCCGCAGGACCTGGGACCCCATGAGAAACCAAAACTGTACCAAGCAGTGTGCCCCACAGTGGCTCAGAGCCACCTGGCCCTTCAACTGCAAAATACGAATGCATTTTAAAAGCTTTACCTTGGTACGTACTGTTTCTGAGAAACTCCATAATATGTAATTTTAAATTTCCATTCACTTACTGACGCTTATAACCCTTCTTGCAATGTCCTCAGCTTCTCTCTCTGGGGCACTTTAGTCTCCAGCCTTTTATCCATGATAAATTATCCATTTAATCAAACTATCTAGCTTAAGCATTTTTGGTTACTGCTTTATTTTTTTCAAACGAGAGGGGGGCATCCAACAAACCAGATGTGACTGTCTCCAGTTTCGTTTCTTAATGTACAAGTTGCAGATTCCTTATAGATCCTCCGGGGTAAATCACAAACAAGAATTAGCACATCACCAGCCTAACTTCCTCTTCTCAGCATGTCTGTTTCAAATTAAAGTGAACGACAGACTCAAATATCAAAGGCATATTGCCCCTAAATTAGCCAATCAGCTCCAAATACAGCTGGAAACAAGAGCAGGGGATAATGTTTTTCAATCAGCGGACAACCCTTTGAAAGTTTAATTATAAATGGTAGCCGTTTATTTCAAGCTAAATGAAATTTGCCTCTTCTATGTAGGCAATACACACTGTATGTCATCCCAGCCCAGTCTCTTATCTCTTACTGCCTACAACAGGGGGAGCAAAAATTATGTAGATCCCCATTCTCTGACTTCTATTATTTCATTATTCTTTGAAGGGAATGGAAAATGCTTGCTATACAATTGTTAGAAGAAATCAATTTTCTGAGCAGCTTTTTTTTTTTAACAAAGAAATCGGTCTGGGTTAAACTGACAAGGCAGACTAGAATCAGTGTCCTTGGAATTGGGAATCCCGTTATCCATCAATGAGGACTGTTTTCCAGATCAGGGGAAGGAAGGGGTGGTCAGTTTGAGATTGGTCTCAGGTGTCAGGTCTGGAGAGAAACGAGGTTGTTATCTGTTCCTGTCAAGGAGACGATGACCTCCATCTCAGGGGTGCGCGTTCTGGAGATAATTGCAATGAATCATTTGCAAGGCAAGCCTTCAGAACCTTCTGCATGGGCACAGTGCAATCTTCCTCACCCATATGACCCCCATAGCCCCAAATTACATGTCACTTCTCCTCAGGTAGGAAGATCCAGTGGACAGGTGTGGATTTGTCTGCCCAGAGCATCACCACCCTTAGGAAACTCCTTGTCCCCCACTTCATACAAGTGCTCCTCTCCTTAGCCCTGCAGGATGAAGTGTGATAACTGGCCAGCCTGAGTCAAGAGCCATCCCTCAAGTGAATCTAAGTGAGATTCAAAGTGTGACATGCCCATTGATTTGCAGGATTCCCATGTTCCTTGGAATCGAGCCCAGAAACGGAAATCTGATATAGAGCTAGTGAGGCAATGAAGCCCAGCCTTTGAAAACAGACAGACCTGCCATGTAAGTAGCTGAGTGACCTCATGCAAACTGCTTAAACACTCTGAGCCTCCATAGTCCTATATGTAAAATGGGGACAATATCTGTCCTACAAAGTTTTTGTAAGGATTATAGTTATTGCTTGCAAAGTTCTGGAACTACTGTAGCTACTAAAAAAATAATAAACATATGTAGTCATATACCAAATTATCAAACCTCATCAGCCAGTGATGATAAAATGGGGTCATATTTGTGTTTAACTCCCAAATGTCCGTGATCCTGACTCCAGGTGGTGCACCCCCGGGTACCAGTTCTGCCTCTCCAAAACACCCTGAAATACCTCCCAAGTACTTCATCCTGAAGTACTGTCTCCCATGTGTTCACAAAATGGTCTGAGACCATCTCCAGGAGGGATCCCCTGTCAGATAGCATCCACCATGTTTTCCTGCCCTTATTGTGACTGCAGAGTGCGCTCCTTATTATTAAGTCACCAGAGTCCAAGCCGGAGATGCTGTCCCTGATGTCCCCTTGTCATTGCTCCCTGCGGTGACCCAGTGGTGCTGGGTTCTGGTGGCAGTGAGGAGAAAGGTCTCTCCTCAGCTACCTGGGCCTCCAGTTCATTCCTTATTTCCCAAAACAACTCAGCAAACTTCAAAGAATCAACAGCATTCAGAAATGATCCCATCGCCATTAATCCATACCCTCCAGAAAACAGTCTGCCAAATGTGAATTAACAGTTCCCACAATAGAGACAGAAACCTTTTTGGAGCTGATGGCCGCTTCTCTCCACACCCACCAGCACCCCCACTCCATCCCAACGATTTCAGAGACCCGAGGGCTCAGCCTCAGCCAGGTCACACGTGGAATCTGAGTCAACTCTTCATTAATCAAAACAAACCCTGATAAGCTGGGACAACGTGAGAGAGTAGCATTGATATATATACACTACCAAATGTAAGATAGATAGCTAGTGGGAAGCTGCCACATAGCACAGGGAGATCAGCTCGGTGCTTTGTGACCACCTAGAACGGTGGGATAGGGAGGGTGGGAGGGAGACGCAAGAGGGAGGAGATATGGGGATATATGTATATGTACAGCTGATTCACTTTGTTATACAGCAGAAACTAACACACCATTGTAAAGCAATTATACTCCAATAAAGGTGTAAAAAAAACCCAAACAAACCCTGAGTGTAGATCCCGCCCACAGCCAGTGAGTGACCACATGCATGGAGGACAGAGGACAGGTAACATATGGGTTTGCAGAGGTCAAGGGGCTCCAAGAAAGGATGTGAATATGATTCGTTGGAGAGTATGTAAATCAGTTTCTCCTCCCTCTCACTTTCTTACATATGCCCTGTGATATATATGGTTTTCTAACAATAAAGACAAATTATGATGATAACAAGGTCAAGGTACAGCATTATTATAAGTTATATCTCAGTTTGGCTTTATAGGATTATATAGATATTGGGTCAATAAATAATTTGTGTGTATCGAATCATTATCTATATGTTATATATTAGTGTGGTGTACACTAATATATATTATATATATTAGTATGTTATATATATAAGTTCATTTTTGTAAGTAAATATAAAACTTTAGACAAATATAACTAATTAAGCCTTTATTAATGGAGTGGGGTCAAAGGTAGGTGCTTTGGGAAACCTATTTAATTTTTATAAATAAAACACTGATTATAAATAGTAACGTATGAATATATCAAGACTCTTGTATTGATCTTCCTAGGCCTTCAGAGCTAACTTTTACTTGCATGTACCCCAAATGTCATGCTGTGATTGAGAAAATCTGCCCACCAGATTTCACAGCCAATTGTTTTTGTGCCAGAGGTGCTATGTGATCATATATGAAAAGGCAGGAAACTCAGGGATTCCAGTGACCCATAAGTGGCCTATTGCCTAGTAGCAAGATTTCAATAAAAAACCCTGCATGAAATGAGCCTCACACTTATAACAAAATGAGTCTGAAACAATCAAAAAGTGGTATGAGGTCCATGACTCTATGACAAGGCTAAGTCCAGGAGGCAGGCAGAGTAGGACCACAAGGAAGATTCAACACGGTTTTTGCAGCCAACTTTTTCTGGTCACAGATGGCTGTTCTGTATAAATGTTCCTGAAAGTTCTCATTTCTAATGGTGGGTCTTAGATAGCAATATTTCACCAAACCACAATTTTTAATGGATCATTACTGTTTTTGCATTTTGTCTTAATGTTACTTGTCTTTCATTTCCTTAGTTGGTTAAACTACTATTTCTTCTCTGTTTCTTGCATTTCATCTCTACTGAGGATGGTATGACTTCTTCATCCTTTCAAATTGATGAAATTAGATTGGGTCTGTTTCCTTAATTCCCTTAATTTAAATGGGTAAGGCTGAGTCATTATGGATGAGTGATCTCTTCCAGACTGCCCTCCAGTGTAAATGACTAAGGGAATAAGGCTCTGAGAACTGGGTCATGAGGTCAAACCAGGCTTGCTGGGCAGGGGAGGGTGAAAGAGCCTGCGTAACTCTTTCCTGAAAAGCATAGTGGGGGAGATACAGCAGATCTGGGTGAAACCAGATGTCTTAACCAACCAGTTCTGTTCAGGTAAATTGTTTAGTAAAACAAAGCCAAATACAATTTTAGTTAAATTCTATTTGATGAGAAATGGATGTTGTTGCATTGGTTGTTGTTTTTAAATTTTTATTTTGAAATAATTGTAGATTCACATGCATCAATAGTTGCAAGAAGTAATACAAAGAGATTCCATCTACCCTTTGCCCAGTCTCCTCCAGTGGTAACATCCTACAAAACTGCAGTGCCAGATCACAACCAGGGTATTGACAATGATACAGTTCAGAGGTAGAACACCTACATCATTGCAAGAATCACTCCTGTTGGCCTTCTCTAGTCACACCCATGCTTTTGCCATCCCCTACGCCTTTCTTAATCTCTGGCAACTGTTAATCTGTTCTCCATTTCTATAAATTTCTCATTTTAAGAATTTTATATAAATGAAATCACACAATATATAACCCTTTGAAACTATTTCCATTCAGCATAATTCTCTGGAGATTCATTCAAGCTGTAGCATGTACCAGGAATTCATTCAGGATTTCTCAGTATGGGGATCCCACCGTTTGTTTAATCCATTGGGACATCTGGATCATGATGCTTTTAAATATTGTACAAATTGCTTGATCCTAATAAGCAGTTGTGAGGACACTTACTGGAACCCACGAGTTGTTTGAAATAATTTATACCAATTTTCTTACTTTACTCTCGTGACAGATTTGATTAAGCAGATGTAATGCATGATTAAACTATAAAGTTTATATAAACAAGATTAAAGAGAAGATATCTTCTCCTATGGACTTAGATGAATCTAAAGGGAACTATAGTATAATTCAAAATTAATGAAATTCTTCAGTTGATATAAAATGGGAATTGAGAGAGACTAAAGTAGATGACACGGGACTAGTCACTTGTAAAAGGAAAATATATAAATATCACTTCAAGCATTGTTTTAAAAAAATTAAGTATGAGGCTTACAAAGTTTGGAGCAAAATAAAATTAAATAACTAAAAAAAAACTGTCTAATGAAAACTGGGAAAAAATTTGAAAGTAAAAATAAAGACTGTTAAAAAAAAATTATAGTGTTAAACAGCAAAAATTTCTTAATGTAGTCAACATTACACTAAGTAAAAATAGAATAAATTAAACACACTGATTAAAAGACAGAAACTTTCAGGTTGAATTAAGATGAAAACAAAAATAAGACCAAGCTCTACAATATTTAAAAAAGATACACTTCAGATAACAGGGTGGAGAATCGAGGAAAATAAAGGATAGAAAAAAATGTACCACACAAATAAGAGTCAAAAGGAAATTTAATATATGTAAGATTTATTCAAATTTTAATTTTCTTTAATTTAAAAAATTTTATTGAAATATAGTTGATTTAAAATGTTGTGTTAGTTTCAGCTGTACAGCAAAGTGATTCAGTTATACACACACATATAATATATATTATATATATAATCTTTTTATAGTCTCTTCCATTATACATTATTAAAAGATATTGTAATAGTATAGTTCCCTGTGCTATACAGTAGGTCCTTGTTGGTTATCTATTTTATATATAGTAGTGTATATATTTTAATCCCCAACTCCTAATTTCCCCTTCCCCCTTTCCCCTTTGGTAACCATAAGTTTGTTTTCTATGTCTGTGAGTCTATTTCTGTTTTGTAAATAAGTTCATTTGTATCATTTTTTTAGATTCCACATATAAGTGCTATCATATGATATTTGTCTTTCTCGGTCTGGCTTCACTTAGTATGATAATCTCTAGATCCATCCATGTTGCTGCAAATGGCATTATTTCATTCTTTTTTATGTGTAATATTCCACTATATAAATTCTATATATATATAAAAAACATCTTCTTAATCCATTCATCTGCCAGTGGACACTTAGGTTGCTTCCAGGTCTTGGCTATTGTAAATCGTGCTACTATGAACATTGGGGTGCACGTATCCTTTCGAATTATGTTTTTCTCCAGATATATGCCCAGGAGTGGTATTGCTGGATCATATGGTAGCTCTATTTTTAGTTTTTTAAAGAACCTCCATACTGTTCTACATAGCGGTTTTACCAATTTACATTCCCACCAACAGTGTAGGAGGGTTCCTTTTTCTCCACACCCTCTCCAGCATTTATTATTTGTAGACTTTTTGATGTTGGCCATTCTGACTGGTGTGAGGTGATACCTCGTTGTAGTTTTGATTTGCATTTATCTAATAATTAGTGATGTTGAACATCTTTTCATGTGCCTTTTGGCCATCTGTATGTCTTCTTTGGAGAAATGTCTATTTAGATCTTCTGCCCACTTTTTGCTTGTTTTCTTGATATTGAGCTGTATGAGCTGTTTATATATTTTGGAGATTAATCCCTTGTCAATTGCATCATTTGCAAATATTCTCTCCCATTTTGTAGGTTGTCTTTTTGTTTCGTTTATGGTTTCT